GGTGTGGTAGAGGAGGAGGAGGAGGTGGTGAGGGAGGAGGGAGGGTGGTAGAGGGAGGAGGGGTGTGGTAGAGGGAGGGAGGGTGTGGTAGAGGAGGAGGGGTGTGGTAGAGGGAAGGAGGAGGGGTGGTAGAGGGCAGGAGGGGAGGGGTGGTAGAGGGAAGGAGAGAGGTAGTAGAGGAGGGAGGGGTGTGGTAGACGGAGGGGTGTGGTAGATGGGTGGGAGAGGGAGGGAGGAAGGAGTGGGAGAGGGAGGAGGAGCGTGGTAGAGGGAGGGGTGTGGTGGAGGAGGGAGGGAGAGGTGGTAGAGGAGGTTGTGGTAGAGGGAGGGGTGTGGTAGAGGGAGGGGTGTGGTAGAGGGAGGGTAGAGGGAGGGTGTGGTAGGGGAAGGGGAAGGGGTGGTAGAGGAGGGAGGAAAGGGGTGTAGAGGGAGGGAGGGAGGGTGTAGAGGAAGAAGGAAGGAAGGAAGGAAGGAAGGAAGGAAGGAAGGAAGGAAGGAAGGAAGGAAGAAGAAGGAAGGAAGGAAGGAGGGAGGGAGGGAGGGAGGGAGGGTAACAGCAGACGTGTAGTTTAGGTAGGAGGCTCACAGCATGAAACTATCAGGCCGCGCTTCCTGTGTCACAGTACCATCGTGTAGGGCCGACTGCTCCTGCTGTGTTCCCCCACCACAACCACTACACTCATCTCCCTCAACCATAACCCCATCAACCCTCTCTTGCACCATACACACCACCACCTTCACCATAACCCAATAACCGCAGTAATATAAGGGTGATTCATTACGACGATACAGCGAGTCTTGTCAAAACCCCCGGTTCTCACACACACCTAGCGAGCTGAGGTACAATAAGCTCTGAAATCTGTTGACGTGCGACGTTATGGATGGACTTTAAGCATGGGGAGGGGGAAGGAGGAAAGGGGAAGAGAGGGGGAGGGGGGGGAGGAAAGGGGGAGGGGGGTGAGGACGCGGTGTCCCCTTCATCTATTTACAAGCCCAGTATATAAAATTCCTCCACTGGCGACACCGTTAACTGTAACTCTCCTCTGTACACTTGATAACAATAATTTGGGAGAGTCTGAGGCAGATGAGGTATTTGGAGACAGGAATGAAGGTTTTGTTAGATTCTCTACCATGCATAAACATCGCCTGCCATCCTCTGCACCACACACACACACACACACACACACACACACACACACACACACACACACACACGACAACATACAGCGTCCCTGCCACACATCACACTACTACACACACGTACAAATTACACAATCATACACACAATCATAACAAACGCACACACAAATATGTTACATATTCATACACACACACACATTAGTAACACACACACACACACACTCTAACATATAATAAACATCAACCTAAGCTAGAGCAGAGTATGTGTGGTCGTGACATCAACGAAGAGACACTGTGACTCTTAATAACAAAGCCTCCCACGACCACCCCAGCCTCCCACGACCAGCCTCAAGCCTCCCACACCACCCTCCACCCCAAGCCTCCCACGATCACCTCCACCCCGCCTCCCAATGACCACACCTCCTCCCAGCCTCAACCCGTAAACAATAACAGGTCGTCACACACACACACCTATTGCAATCACCCCAATACCCAGCCTAATCTGTGAAAGTTTTGTGTTCGATTGCGATGTTGATATTGAGTGAGTCGTAGACCCTCAGCAATTTGGCAACATGAAAAATCACTCACTGTCTTGTCAGCTTTCGATTACATATACCGCCATCTCGAGAAACGAAAACGTCTGTAGCTGTCGCCTTCATTAATTTCAACTAAAGCATTCGACCTCGTCGACCACAATATAATCATCAACAAGCTATTGACCTCGGGCTTCGGAGAAGTCTTATACCATGGCTTACAGACTTCCTCAGTGACCGACGCCAAGCTGTACGCTTCCGAGGGGCTGTCTCCACCTTTCAGTCATCACCACCTGTGGCGTCCCCAAGCACCAAGATAGGACCACTCTGCTTCCTTATGCTCATCAATGATACCCTAGAGAAACCCCTGCTCGCTGGAAATATGTCGACGACTGCTCCTGACTATACCGCCCTTCAGGATATATTGAACAGTCTCCAAAACTGGGCCACCAACAACCATGTCACCATCAACCATCAGCACCATGGTTATGCACATCAACATCCTCCTCCGACATTGTCCCACCTCCTTCCATTGCTTTAGGTCCGAACACACTCCAGGTTGTAGATTCCACGAAGCCTCGGCGTCACCATAGACAACAAACTAAATTGGAAACCACACGTCAGTGAAGTTGTCAAATCCTCCAGTTTCAGTCTCAACCTCTGCTGACATGTCCTCGGAGTTCCTGCACCGAGCTCCTCAGTGTTTACACAACATATACTTCCCAAGCTCACCTATGCCTCCCCACCTGGTCTTCCTCCTAAATGCCACACAACGTAAACACCTAGAAAAAGTGCAAAGAGAGGGCATGCAGGATTATTCTCTCCTTCCTACTCCACAAATCAAGAAGCCAACACACAGACCCTTCGACTCTCACTCCATCACCACGACCTCATCTGCAATTTGGTAAGAACCTCTACACCATCCTCGACACCGGCCCTACTACCACCTGAGATCCCTTTTAGAGCCCGAAAATTGTTGTTGTTCGACACCACAACTGCATCCAGCCCATACGTTTATGAACTGATCGCTATAAGAACAGCCCAGTCCCAACCATTGTAAAATTATCAATAACTTGTAATAAACCAGTGTATTCACTCCCAGTAAATACTACTTTGCACTGTCACTATGTTGAAATGCACTGTAGTTTGAGCTTTTTCCCATCTATTATTATATATCTTATTTGTATCACTTATGTTACTTGTATATTATTTGTAATTCGAAACCCATTCCCAAATATGAATTGTATATTTTCAGCCTTCTGGCTGCTAAGCTCTTTCAATAAACCGTTAATTATTATTATTACACATCCTCCAGCTGGTGCAGTCTGCCAAATTCTGGGTGTAACTATAGATAACAAACTTGACTGAAAGCCCATGTAAATAACACTGTCAAGGCAGCCTGCACTGTCTCTCTACATGCTACGAAGACTTTAGGTCACTTGGGACACCCACGCCAGAGCTGGAGGACCATCTACAACGCCTTTATTCTCCCAAACTAACGTATGCGTCACCAGCCTGGTCGTCTTCTCTCACTCCACCCAACAACGTCAGCTAGAGAAGGTACAGAAAAGGGCCTGCAGAATCATGCTCGGCGAGACTACTCCGCCACACCAACGCTTCTTCCACCGGAAATGCCATCCCCAGTGACCTCCACCACCAAGCACTGGAAAGGTTTGGCTGCACCACCCTCATGCCACCTGCAGTCCCACCAAGGCAGCCCGCCACTACAACAAAAATTCAGCCCATAAGAGCCCGCACCGATAGATATAAGAACAGCACCATCCCATCTATTGTTGAAAATAATAACAACTCCTGGATTTATGTACTGTAAGGCCCTGTAAATGTATTCAATGCATATTATATCATTATGTCTAAATCAAATGAAATTCATATTTCAGCCACCGGCTGCAACTCTATTAATAAACCGTTTATTATTATTATTATTATTACACAAGAGCAGGTATAGTCAAAATGGCGTCTGTATTGTACCGAGACTCTAGGAATCTTATATACTGTAGGTTATTATACTAGTCATTTAAAAGATTCATTTACTGCGATGATCTTTTATAATCTTGACCCAGACTTCTCTTAATTACCACTTAAGGGAAAGTAATTAATTTGAGGATATCTGAAAGTCTCTCCCCCCTCCCTCTTTCTCCTCCTCAGGGTGCTACAGGAGGTCAAGTTGCTGTAATTTCCGGTAGTGTAGTGTAATATTTCACTTATGATTCACCGTCTGCATACTTTTTATCCTTGTTTCATTCATTATATGCAAATGGAGAGAGAACAAACTAAACGTGTGTGCATTATCATGATATCCATCTTATATGGATATTAAAACCAAACGTATTCTAGTAATATCCACCTAATTTACATATAACCCAAAATATGCATCTCATTTACATTTCATAATCGCAATAAAACCTCCTCCTAATTTGCATATTACAACAGCTAAAGGACTACAAGTGTCGTCCAGGCTGGCTGTGTGTACTATGGCTGACCCAAATACATTCAGTAAGGATAATAATCGTGTTAGCGGTACACACACACACACACGTGAGGAGAGAGAGAGAGAGAGAGAGTTGAAGTCCTAAACAAACTGGTAACACCATCACTGTCGCCGTCAGGTCTCACGGCCCCTACAGTACTTCCAGCTAGACAGGAGGCCACTATCTACGTCACTACTATGACTCCCAAGGTTTATTTTGACCGTCCTTCTGAGAACCACTGTGGCTGACCGGACGCTGACAACCCAACCCAACCCAAACGAGACACGTCAATACTTCCCTTATGTTCCAGAGAGAGTGAGGACGAGGGCAGCCAGCAACTATACCGCCACTCTTTACCAGTGATAACGTCTCTCTCTCACACTCACACCACCTCTCACAGAACTAACATGTGTACACTGTAGGAAGTATGTGTCAAAACGAGGCCTCAACAGCACACAACAGCGATACTAACAAGCTGTCTTTAAAGTTAGGTTGGGGACCTCCGAGACGACTGACGACCATCGGGCGTATCAAGATGTCGTGTACATTATTATTATTTACTGAATACAACAGCTCTTCCTTCAGATACATCAGTGAAGTACACAGCCCTGAGTATATGTAGTCTTGTTACCTCTTACTGCGAGCCGATGAAGACCTGTACACACACACACACACACTTAATATAAGCAAAAATACACATAAGTAACATAAGAATACACATAAGTAGGGATATATATTGTATATATAAGTAAGAAAATGAAGAATACACCTATAACAAAGATACACATAAGTAACATACAGATACACATAAGTAACATAAGTAAGAATATCTGTTACTTTACCTGCCCGGCGTGCTGTCGATCCTTGTAAAATATAATTGAGTGACCCACCACCACCGCCCACACCGCCTTCCACGACCGGTCACCAGCCTCTGCAAGTACAACACCACACGATACCTCAGTAACATGTAAATCAACTATCACTGAAGAGATCTAACATGATAGATGGATATTTTACCACTTATAACATGTGATTAAACCGAATGCAATCTTCCATAGTTACCCCTGTAGAGAACGGGAAGAGAAGACATGGGGGTAGGACTATGGTAAAACATAATGTTGCTGTGTTAAATGTCAGAAAGTTGACCCTATGTCACAGGGTCACCAATATATATATATGTTTTACCTATTAAACGTGACAGTATTTTACTAATATAGTTCTAGTAAAACAAAAAACACCAGAAGTTAAAGAAAGGAAGAAAGAAATCATTAGATACGTTGAGGTCATGTCTAAAACACAGATCCCTCATATGAAAAAATTACCAGTCAGATCAGAGAGAAACAATTTGGTTTTGTTAAATAATTACAATACCAACACCATATCACTGAATCCCACTTCGGGCGAGTGACTGGAGACCCCTGGGGTGAAAGTGGTACTGTTATGGTACAGTACACAGGTGACGACAGCACAAGTGACGCATTACAGGACAATTAACCTCTCTTCACCTTCTTACTAAATAAAGAGAACGGTAACTCTCTTTTTTTTTTTTCTCTCTCTCTAATGAAGTTTACTTTACCCTGACCACACCTGCTATACACCTGACCACACCTGCTATACACCTGACCAAACTCCAAACGTATATAATGCCGTACAACTACACACACACACACACACCTATATGTAGTTTTAATATACGTATCACAAAATACCTTTCGTTAACCTTTACTGAGTGTAATGTTAAAATTCAATAAATAAACAGGCAAACACTGTGATACATAATTGTCAAATATCATAATCGTTGTATTTCCGGTATCCATGTGAAGCTGAACCCTCTGTCATGTAGGCTCCTCGTGTGTGTGTGAGTCACCTGATGTTACCTCAACCATATCATCTTTCACTAAACGGTGTGGACGTCAAACTTGTAGCGTCTAAACCACTTCCGTCAGCCTCCCTCAACACAATATAATTATGTTTCCAGTTTGTATTTCCATAACGTTATATTTCATAGTACAACCCCCAAGAAGTATCGTACCCGGCAGTGTATCGTGGCAGCAAGGAAGGAAGTATCGTACTGCTATATCCCATGACTCTAATTTACTATTGCTATTATATTCAATAGTCTTACACATGGCGAGTTTGATAAGTGAATAGAATCAACTGAGTACTAACTTCCATCTAGGGTGTGATCTGGGGAGACTGCACTGACAACACACTGAAGACGACAGTAATAATCTCTCAGTTATCAAGGCAGTTTAGGGAGTTTGTGTGATGTAAAGACGTTTTGTTGTGAGTCGTAAACAAACTGTATGTGTGTGTGTGTGTGTGGGTATGTGTGTATGTGTGTGTGTGTGTGTGTGTGTGTAGTCAGTTCACGTCACACCCACATCACTGGAGTCTGGTCAACCTGCGTCTCGGTTCAGTGACTCCCCAGTGTACACCTCACACCAGTTCAGGTGACCTCTTCCGGCACGCGGTCACCGGTCTCGTTACTAATGGGGCCTAACCTAACGGGGCCTAACCAACCAACATAACTTAACCTATCCCAATCCAACGTTATCTTATCTAACACAACATAATATAATTTAAGTTAACCTAATCCAATCTTTATCGAACCTAACCCAACCTTATCGAACCTAACCCAACCTTATCGAACCTAATCCAACTTTATCAGACCTAACAACCTTATCGAACCTAGCAACCTTATCGAACCTAACACCTTATCGAACCTAATCCAACTTTATCTGACCTAACCCAACCTTATCTAACCTAACCCAACCTTATCGAACCTAGCAACCTTATCGAACCTAATCAACTTTATCGGACCTAACCTTCGAACCCCCAACTTTATCGAACCTAACAACCTTATCGAACCTAATCAACTTTATCGAACCTAATCAACTTTATCGAACCTAGCAACCTTATCGAACCTAACAACCTTATCGAACCTAACCCAACCTTATCGAACCCAATAACTTTATCTAACCTAACAACCTTATCTAACCTAACCCAACCTTATCGAACCTAACCCAACCTTATCGAACCTAATCAACTTTATCGAACCTAACCCAACCTTATCGAACCTAACCCAACCTTATCGAACCTAACCCAACCTTATCTAACCTAACCACCTTATCGAACCTAACCCAACCTTATCGAACCTAACCCAACCTTATCGAACCTATAGCCTTATCCTAACCTAATCAACTTTATCTAACAATCTAACCTAACCTAACCTAACCCATTCTTACCCCACCTAAACTACATATTCCTCAATGATGGGAGTGAGTAATGTTCCCAAGTACAGAATAAATGTACACAAAATTACTTATATCATTTCTGTAACACTTCAGTAATATATCACCTCACCTTCTGTATGACTTCAGAGAGGTTCAGTGTTATTCTCTAGTAAAGCTGCTATTATTATTATTATTATTATTATTATTATTATTATTATTATTACTACTACTACTATAACAAAGCGCTAGAACAGGACCCTAATATATGCCAACAGTAAACGTAACTAGTCCATGTATAAATGCCCTCACCTAAGGTGAGGCATTTGAGGGAGCAGATAGAAGTGCCACTGTATGCCCGCTGGTGCCTGTGACCTTGACCTATGACCTTCTGACTTCGAAAAACACAGTAACTCCAAGGAGAGGGTGGTGGGGTGGTGGGGGTGTGAGTGAGAGGGGGGGGGGCAGTGTACCGCTCGACTATAAACACACCCCTCCTCCCCTATCTCACCTGTCATGCTCTGATACCCTCCACACCTCTTACTAATTACTACACCTTAGAAACTCGTACATACCGAGGCACCGACCATACCACCTTACTGCAGCGACACACGAGGCTCCGGCGTCGCTTTACGGTTCAATTTACAACAGTTATGAGGTGGTGGTGGTGGCGACGCGTGTGTGTGAGTGAGTCACACCAAGGAGGAGGGGGGAAGGAACGGATGGGAGGGGAGGGGGAGAGGCATCAACATCCGCCCCATCATCGCCACCAGCAGTAGCAGCATCAAGCAGCAGGAACAGTAGAAGCAGCAAGCAGAGGGTGACGAGATCCTCTGCCTGTAGCAACTCGTACCTGTCATGAATCACTGCCACCTTCACCATCGTCATCACACCTTCAGCATCGTCATCGTCACCTTCACCATCGTCATCGTCACCTTCAGCATCGTCTAGATACAATGTTTGTATTCCTAGACTGTTCATATTATATACCTGCATTGTCTATATACGAACCGAGTCGATGTAAACGTGAATGACGATTTTACTGAAGAAATATCTATCTATCTATCACCACTACATTGGAGAAAAATCGAATATTGTTTTGTGATTTAATGAAAGCTTTGTGCTGTATATAAACGCTTGTGGTGGTGTAGTCTCCTCGCTGTCACACACACACACACACACACACACACACACACACACACACACACACACACACACACACACACACACACACACACTACTTGGCAACTCTTCCCGTGTATGTATGTGTGTTTAGTCATGAGAATTATATATACGAGATGTCCTTTATTTTGATGAAAATTCATATATACTGTACGATATTCTTGGATGGGATCGACTTTAAATGGTCATTGATCTTGATTGACCTTTGTAGGGTGAGTAAATCGTTACCAAAACACTACTTACTAGTAACTATAGTGAAGAAGGTTAGAGCAGTAGTAAATAAAAGAATAACATTGAAAATATAAGTAATGAGAGAGAGAGAGGGGGAGAGAGAGAGAGAGAGAGAGAGAGAGAGAGAGAGAGAGAGAGACACCTTTCCGTCGACCATGGTCAGTTTAACGTGGAGGGCGCCCTGTCTGAGCACGGCAGACTGGAGAGAGGCAGGGGAGGGCAGGTCACCCACACACAGAGGGCCTGCGGGCGTGCCTGGGGCGGGCTCACTGCTCGCCACACTCACCCCGCCCACAACACTCGCCTCCTCTCCGCCTTCAACCCTCAAACCACTGCAGGAGATGAACAAAAACAGTTAACAACAAATCAAGTCTTAATTTTTCTAAAGGGGTGGGGGTGGGGGCTGTTCTTGGTTTGTTATTAATACAGTAACACACCTAAGACTAAATCGATACGAAGTTAAGTCAGAAACATCACAACCAAAAACAGTAACAATAATAACGAAGTGTAAAATAAAGTAATTGTCACTTATAATAAAAATGAGAACATAACAAAATGATGACATAAACTACAAAGAAAGGGTGACAATAACACCGGCAGTTCATTATTTTGACCAGATAAAAACTGATAAACAATGAAGATAACAAGACCCACTTTATGTTCATTATTGATCGCCCACCACACTCCACGGCTCCACCACACTCTACTGCTCCACCACACTCTACTGCTCCACCACACTCTGCTCAACCACCACACACACTACTGCTCCACCACACACACTACTGCTCCACCACACTCTACTGCTCCACCACACACTCTACTGCTCCACCACACTCTACTGCTCCACCACACTCCACTGCTCCACCACCTCTACTGCTCCACCACACTCCTACTGCTCCACCACACTCTACTGCTCACCACACTCTACTGCTCACCACACCCCACTGCTCCACCACCTCTACTGCTCCACCACACTCTACTGCTCCACCACCCCCACTGCTCCACCACACTCTACCAACCCACCACACCCCACTGCTCCACCCACTCTACCAACCACCCACCTCCCACTGCCCACCACACTCACTGCTCCACCACACTCCACTGCTCCACCACACACTCTACTGCTCCACCACACTCTACTGCTCCACCACACCTCTCTGCTCCACCACCTCCACTGCTCCACCACACACTACTGCCCCACCATACTCTCTGCTCCACCACACTCTACTGCTCCACCACACTCCTGCTCCACACACTCCACTGCTCACCACACTCTACTGCTCCACCACACTCTACTGTACCACACTCTACTGCTCACCACACCTCTGCTCCACCACACTCCTGCTCCCACCACACCCCACTGCTCACCACACTACTGCCCCACCATACTCTACTGCTCCACCACACTCTACTGCTCCACCACACTCTACTGCTCCACCACACTCTGCTCCACCACACTCTACTGCTCCACCACACTACTGCTCCAACACACTACTGCTCCACCACACTCTACTGCTCCACCACCCACTGCTCCACCACACTACTGCTCCACCACACACTACTGCTCCACCACACTCCACTGCTCCACCACACACTACTGCCACACACACACTACTGCTCCACCACACTCTACTGCTCCACCACACACCACTGCTCCACCACACACTGCTGCTCCACCACACTCCACTGCTCCACCACACTCCACTGCTCTCCACCACACTCCACCCCCCACACACGTAATATCGACAACAAAATAAAATAACTCGGTGATGGAAAACAAAAGGGCTTTTTAAACGTAATACCCAAACTCGTACAAGACCCCGACGGTCAAACAGCAGTCTTCATTACGGGAAAAAGTGAAGTGTGTGGCGAGAAAGAGATGGGAGCCTCTCATCCCCAACCAAGTGTTTGCCGGCCAAGGGATACTGCAGGGCGTGAGGCCAAGGGTAAACAAGTGATTGACGGCCGAGCATACCAAGTGTTTGGCGGCAGAGATACTGCAGGGCGTGAGGCCAGGGTAAAACAAGTTGACGGCCGAGCATACCAGAGTGTTTGCCGGCCAGAAGATACTGCAGGGCGTGAGGCCAAGGGGTAAAACAAGTGATTGACGGCCGGGCATACCAAGTGTTTGCCGGCCAAGAGATACTGCAGGGCGTGAGGCCAAGGGGTAAAACAAGCGATTGACGGCCGAGCATACCAAGTGTTTGCCGGCCAAGAGATTCCGCACGGCGTGAGGCCAAGGGGTAAAACAAGTGATTGACGGCCGAGCATACCAAGTGTTTGCCGGCCAAGAGATTCCGCAGGGCGTGAAGCCAAGGGGTAAAACAAGTGATTGACGGCCGAGCATACCAAGTGTTTGCCGGCCAAGAGATACTGCAGGGCGTGAGGCCAAGGGGTAAAACAAGCGATTGACGGCCGAGCATACCAAGTGTTTGCCGGCCAAGAGATACTGCAGGGCGTGAGGCCAAGGGGTAAAACAAGCGATTGACGGCCGAGCATACCAAGTGTTTGCCGGCCAAGAGATTCCGCACGGCGTGAGGCCAAGGGGTAAAACAAGTGATTGACGGCCGAGCATACCAAGTGTTTGCCGGCCAAGAGATTCCGCACGGCGTGAGGCCAAGGGGTTTGTTGAGATAAGGTAGCTGAGCAGGGGTGACCTATCCTGACCCCAAGATGATAGTATGGATGTACAGCATTTACATAACAGGTATATTTTTTTTCTCATTCTGAATACTTTAAGAGGTTTACACACCACTCATCACCACCATCAAGAGGTTTACACACCACTCATCAAGAGGTTTACACACCACTCATCAAGAGGTTACACATCACTCATCAAGAGGTTTACACACCACTCATCAAAGAGGTTTACACACCACTCATCAAAGAGGTTTACACACCACTCATCACCACCATCAAGAGGTTTACACACCACTCATCACCACCATCAAGAGGTTTACACACCACTCATCACCACCATCAAGAGGTTTACACACCACTCATCACCACCATCAAGAGGTTTACACACCACTCATCATCGTTAACTACACCTGACCCGTCAAAATAGCTGGTTATCATTTACACCTTAACAATAACAAGCCAACCCTGATACCTATTATACCAGTCTCTGATCATGAGGGTGTGGGCGGCGGTAACACAGTTGTTGTTGTTTCTAGTGGTGTTAAATAATTCTATAACTCACAACCCTTCCTTCACTAGAGGCATCTGTACCATTTAAGGCGACAAAATATTACCACTTTTAGATACGCTGACCCAGGTTGCTTGATCACCTACTAGGATAAGCGATATCATCATCCCAAATATAATCACAAGTAACCACAGGAGGCTTTACCTAGAGCGAACCAATACATAGAAAACGGTTCTGGCCTTGGACGACAACACACTAGAGAAAACGTGTACTACTGGTCCTTGTTGATGGCAGACTCGTTTAACTTTGTTCAAGCGGGCCCCCTCCCCATCACAACCTACTGTATATAATGTACATTAATATTTGTTCTATTTAAACGATGGTTACATAACGGTAAGAAAGAACTACAGTCAAGTATTACAGAATTACATTATATATTATCACTAGGTTAACTAAAACAACAAGACTGACATTAGTGAAATAAAAGAAGGAAGATGAGGAGAGGGCATACAACAGGTTCACCCCTCCCCCCCACCGAGGACAACATTTTATAATCGGTATTTAAGAGCCGAGGAAAGAGCGTGTACCAGTGGAGAGGGTGGAAGAGGGAGAGTAGGGGAAGGCATAGAGTAGGTGGAGGTGTGGAGAAGGCAGTGGAGTGGAGTAGGTGGAGATGTGGAGTTGGCAGAGGAGTGGAATAGGTGGAGGAGTATCGTGTTTTAGCTCAAGTCAACCAGTTAAAGAGTAAACTATTCAACGAGAGTGCTTCCTGAAGAGCACGACATCTCCTGCAGAAGGTGGTGGTGTGCTGCAGAAAGGGGGATGCTTATGGTTTCACTCACCTTCGGTCGTCGTTGTCGGAGTCGAGGTCGGAGTCAGAATACATGCGGTCCCCAGACGTGGCCTTGAGGTACGACACCCGCCGCACTAGTCGCTCTCCCTCGTCCCCTGCAACACAACAACAACAACTTTAATGATGATGATAATAATAATAATAACAATAATAATAATAATAATAACCACAACAAAAACTTTAATGAAACAATAACAAAATATAACCATAATAATAATAACAACAGAAGTAACCACCACAACAAAAACAATAATCACAACAATAACAACAACAATAATAATTCTAACACCGCAGACCACAATTTCAAGATGTCCGCCCCATCCATCAAGCTAAGACTAAAGAAACACCGGAACAAACATTGGGTAGATCAAGATGTCACGTTGGAGCACACACTCTGGGCTCTGATGTATGGTACTAGTGTAAGGTTAGGTTAAGTGAGGCTAGGTTAGGTAAGGTTAAGATTGGCTTAGGTTGGAGTAAGCGAGTTTTTGTCCCCACCCCCACCACAATGGTCAAGTAATTAGTATATTGTTTTTGTTATTTTGTTATTCTTGTTGTTGTTGTTATGGTGTTATTTTTGTTTTTGTTGTTTTTGTCGTTGTTTTGTTATAGTTCTTGAGTTGATGTTTAGTTATTGTTGTGTTATGTTACTTTTGTTGTTGTGTAGTTGTTGTTTATTCCTCTCAACCTACATCCAACCATCTATACTCACATTACCACCACAACTACCACCATCTCTTCTACAACTATTAAACAACCACCATCACTTATACTCCTACAAAACTATCACCACCAATCTCAAACATCCAACAACAACTATTAACAATAATTAAAAGTCACCAACACACACACAGATCTTTTTCACAGTGTTATGAAGGTCGCTGTGAGCCCAGGCATGTCCGTGTGTGTGTGTGTGTGTGTGTGTGTGTGTGTGTCCAGATCTCAGTTACAGTACGGTGCGACTTCTTATTATAACACACACACACACACACACACACACACACACAGAGTTAACTTTCCCGAATTCTGTAAAAAAAAAAACTTGGCGCTGGGATATTAAGCATGAGGACAGTTTGGCCAGCAGAGCACCACCACCTCTCCTTACCCATATAAACCAAACCAAAGCTAACCTAACTAAAGTTAACCATACGCTAACCCAAAACTAACCTTACGTCAACCTAACATACCGCGCCTTAACGTGACCCAAACAAACCTGACCTAACCAGTGAGTTCTCGTCCATACACCTGAGACACTAACCTTCAGGTAGTAACAGCCAGGTAAGTCCATAGTGTACACAGACCATGGGTGCCCCAAGGTCTCATCTCCTGGTAAACTCTAAACCTCGAGTCCTTGATAACTACTCCAACGGGATGAAGAATGACTATATTGGCAGTTCAAGGTCAACCTCGACAACACTAACCACTCTAATTTGTTTCTCTCCTTATAATAAACACGGACATCACGAGACAAATCGATCCAACAGTGCCAAGACCAAGCCAACAATAACATGCCTTGGAATGATAAGAATGACAGATACCTACCGAGGAATGACACGAATGACATACCTGACGTGTCATCTTCGAAACTTAACCACACATCACCAACTAACATCCCAATTCAACTCCTTATCACCATTTCATCAACCTAACCACTATCAAGAATCCCACACAAGATGATGATATCCCCCCCCCCCCCAGGTCAAGATATCCCAGGTAGAGCCCAACAGGTAAGACAGCCTGTAATTGAAAGTTAATTTGCATGAATCATCTCTTATCACACCGTCGCCCCGTGTCAAGAGCAACGTAGATGAAGACTTTTCCAGTTCAGTTTTATGAGATCACTATTATTTTGCAGATAGGACTGTGATAAATTGACCATGACTACATACATACATACATACCCTCCTCCCCACCGGAATATCAACAAGTTCTCGCCAGAAGTTACAATTTCATTTAGGAAAGGAACGGAACCAGTGTTAAACCGAGGTGAACAGTGGTGAACAGTGCTTAAGTCAGTGAGAACAACTCAACAGTAACAGTCGCACCCAAGTTAACCTTCACACAGTGAGGTCCCAGGTACCCAGTGATAACGGCCCCCCGCGAGACCCAACAACAACCACCGATGTGTTAATCCGTCTACGATAGGAAGGCCTGGGACCAAACCTCACTCATATAACACCATCTGTGAGGGAATTACTACACCACATGTCCCTCATAACACCATATGTGAGGGAATTACTACACCACGTCAAGTCCCTCATCACACCATCTGTGAGGGAATTACTACACCACGTGAGGTCCTCATAACACCATCTGTGGGGGAATTACTACACCACGTCAGGCCCCTCATAACACCATCTGTGAGGGAATTACTACACCACGTGATGCCCCTCATAACACCATCTGTGAGGGAATTACTACACCACGTGAGGTCCCTCATAACACCATCTGTGAGGTAATTACTACACCACGTGAGGTCCCTCATAACACCATCTGTGAGGTAATTACTACACCACGTGGTCCCTCATAACACCATCTGTGAGGGATTACTACACCACGTGAGGCCCCTCATAACACCATCTGTGAGGTAATTACTACACCACGTGATCCCTCATAACACCATCTGCGAGGGAATTACTACACCACGCCAGGTCCCTCATAACACCATCTGAGGGAACTACTACACCATGTGAGTTCCTCCTAACACCATCTGGGAGGGAGTTACTACACCATGAAGCCCTCATCACCATCAGCGGGGTACTACCGTGCCCTCATAACACCATCTTGAGGAATTACTACACCACGTGAGAGCCCTCTAACACCATCTGAGGGAACTACTACACCGTGAGTTCCTCCTAACACCATCTGGGAGGTTACTACACTACGAGTTTGCTGTTCAACACCTACATTAATCTGTATGTTTTCCTTGTGTTTCCTTTACCTTTCTCTATGAAGGCTTTTGTTAAACCACCAATGTATGTAATAAGTCATTTATGTCCAATGTATATTTTCAGCCTCGGGCTGCAGAACTTTTAATAAACCGTTAATTATTATTATTATTATTATTTACACACATACATGTGTATGATAATAATGAAGATGATGGTGGTGGTGTAGGTAACTGGTAGTAGTGATTGTGGTGATGGTGGTGGATTGGTAATGGTAGTGGTGGTGATAGTGGTGATGTGAGTGGTAGTGGTTGCGTGGTGGTAGTGGTCACTGTGAGGCTGCATCTCTCCTCTCCTTCATTACCTGGCCGTCATCTCATTACCCTGCATGATGATACATCCCACCCACCACCTCTCCCTCTACCACCTGTGCTACACTTTGCCCCTGGCCGCCGCCGCCACCCTACTGAGACAATGCGAAGGTGTGTGTGTGTTTGTGTGAGCGAAAAATAATGCAACACGTATTTAACTCACTCGTTTACGTGACCCGAAGCTAAAAGTATGGTTAGAATATATCCCATGGGGGAGATATTAGATGTTTTAGTCCTTATTATCAAGACGGAAGCAGCTTATTACAAGGACGACACACACACACACACACACACACACACACACACCGCCAACATCCGGGGCCGGGCGTGACACATCAAGACAGGACTGGTGTAATGCTTTCAAAGAAGCAAAACAGTTTGTCCAGAAAATAAATCAACGTAGAATAGAAAGACGATCGTGCGGAGGCATCAAAGAACCTGTTTGATCAAAGAGAGGTTATACCTCCTACTGATGAGTAACACATTAATACCACCCGACCCACTCTTTAAACCCGTAGTAGGCAGTCACCGAGCCTGCCAGAACAGGTCCTCCACATAAGAACATAAAGGGTCTGCAATAGGCCGGTTGGCCTGTGCGGCAGTTCCTGTCGAGTTACTACCACTCTCTCATCCATGAATCTATCTAGCCTCCTTTTGAAACTTTCCAGAGTTCGCACTTACTACAAGTTGGTAGCTTGTTCCACTCGTCCACCACCCTATGTGGACAGGTTTCTTCCTATCTCCCTCCTAAACCTAAACTTATCAACTTGAATCCGTTGTCGGTCCCTATCCTGCTCGGATATTATAAGACTTTATCTATATCCCCTTTATTGATTCCTTTCACCCACTTAATACTTCTATCATTTCTTCTCGCACTCTTCGTCTTTCTAGGGAATGCAAGTTAAGTTCTAACCTATCCTGATATGGAAGGTTTCTAAGTCCCGAATCATTTTGTCATTCTTCGCTGCACCGACTCTGGAATTTATATCCATTCTATAATGAGGGCACCAGAACTGGCATAATCGAGGTGTGGCCTGACTAGCGCAAGATATGGTTGCAATAAGACCTCTGCACTCTTGCTTCTAGATATAAACAATACTCTGTTTGCCTTATTTCGAACATTAACGCACTGTTTTTCTAGGCCGTAGGTCCGGGCTTATGGGTACCCTAGGTCTCTTTCACAAGTCGATTTCCTTCAGGTTGATGTTGTTAAGGCTGTATACATTATATTATTTGTTCTTCCAATATTAGTCCTGCACTTTGCTGGTGTTGAATCCACGACACGGGGACAACACACAAACCTCGGTGAGTGCAGGTAGACCCGTGACCTTACCGTACAGAGGGGCGGTGAGACGAGGGTGAGGAAAGTCACACTCAGGTCACCACGACACTTACCTGTAACAAAAGAGACAGTATTAATGTTTGCCTCACCAGTCAACATCCCTACCCCCTCCTCTCTCCCCATTTTACCTCACTGGAACCTATACACCTGTTAGTCATTACCACTTGTGAGTCATGACCTTCACACCTGTTGAGTCGTGACCTACAGAGATGACTCATGACCTCTGGTGACCCGTGACTGCCTCCCTCAAGGTGGCCTGGTGACCTCATTAATCCACCCCCTTCTCCCAGGCTGAGAATAATTACACTAAGTGGAGCAGGTGCACAGGTAGGTGTGTGTGTGTGTGTGGTGAGGTGTGTGTGTGTGTGTGGTGAGTGTGGTGGTGTTGGAGGCAGGTATTGAAACGCACTCAAGAGGTCCTTGGTCTGACCAGTATGGGTGAGGGGGCGTCATGAACACCGTCTGGAGCTTCACCCAACCACTGTAATTCTGAG